TCAGTTTCGTTGTATTCATTTCTTCATTTATTCTTCATCAACTTTTTCTTTTGTAATTGACACACACATACACATACATACATATATACTGACTGCTACAATAGTTGAAAGAATAAAGAACAAAACATACGTTCAAGAAAGAAAGAAAGAATCACACATAACACACGAAAAAGAAAACATAGAACTAAATTAATATCTAAATCACAGAACATATCACATAATAAAACAAATTTGAATGGTTTCCTTCTTTTTCATTCAACAGTAACAAGATAAGGACTTCCAGGTACATGTTGCATATTCGATCCATAAAGAATAACTAACATATATTGACCGCGTATTCGAACTCGATAAGATACTTTGTAGATATATGATGGAGATGATGGCATTATACGTTTAACAACAAGACGTTCACATGGCCCAAGAGACGAATAAAGACCAACTAAAAGTAAACCGGGTCCTACATAATATTAAAAAAAAAGTTAAAATAAATAAAATTGTATTGTGTGTTTTTTTTTATTAATTAAAACCTGCTTGACTAGCATCAATTTTAAATGTTGTTTTTCGTCGTGGTTTAGTTTCATAAAGACCTGTTCCAAAGACACATACTTGTGATGCATCACTTGTCATTGATGAACGAAGAATATCAAGATCAACATGAGTTGTTGATCTTGTTGATGAACGAATTGGATTTAAAACTGATTGAATAGGTATTAATGAATTACAGCTTGTTGTTGTTTGTGTTGTAGTAGCTGTTGTTGTTTCATTTCCAATATCATTTTCTTTTTCATACATTGTTGATAAAACTGTACGACTTTCATTGAGTTTATCTACAAAATATTATAAATCGAAATAAGTAAAAATTTTCTTTCAAAAAAAAAAAAAAAAGAAACTAACTATAAACACGACATATAAATGGACTGCCTTGAATATGTTTTCCACCATTTTTTATAGTGATGATATATTTACCACTTCGCATTGGTTTATAATGAAACTAAAATGAGTAAAACAAAAAACAGCTAATCGATTTTTTGATAGATTAAGATGCTTAATTAGTTACTTCATAACCATGTTCAGTTTCATTGGCATCAAGAAATACAGTTGATGGACCACTAATACCAACAGTAAAAGTTTCTGTTTCTGATGATGGATAATTTGGTGATTTTGATACGAAAAATTGACTTGATTCGCCTAAATGAAAGACAACGATTTTCTATCCTGTTCTACTCTTTTTTTCCTTCCTGTCATTCTTGGTAAAGAACGAAGAAATAGCATAACCAAAAAAAAAACGAGCGCTACGAGTAGGATTCGAACCTACGCGGGAAGATCCCATTGGATTTCTAGTCCAACGCCTTAACCACTCGGCCATCGCAGCTGCGCTCACCTGTGTACGCATGAAATAGACCTTGTCCACTGGCAATGATTGATTTTCTAGAAGAAGATGGTCGTACAATTAATCGATGTGGATTATCAAATATTGGTATATGATTAAGACTAACATTAAGCCAATAATTTCCACATGTATTTGGTACAAAATATATTTCGTAACATTCTAAAATAAATAAGTAATAAATTAAAATCATTTTTAAATATCCGTATAGATTAAATTTAACAAAAAAAAGTCTATTGAATAATTTTGTTCAAATTTTCAAATATATTCGAAAATAAATCTAGAATAGAATTGATCAGTTCGCTGATCAGAAAAAAAATCCATGCCCTTTTGTTCAAATCTTTCAATAAGTACATGTGATCATTAAATAATCATTTTGCTATGGTTTAAGACAGTTTATTAACTGATAATGTATTCATATAAATTATTATAACAGCTAGTGCCCGAAAATACATATATATGTAATTACTAGTTATTAAAATTCTCATTAGAAGATCTAATAGAGTATGTGCTGTGTATTATTTTTACATTTGATAGTTTCGATAAAACCAATATTAAAAAATGTTATATATGGAAATATTTTTGCTTTGTAATGGCATAATAAAAATTTTCGAATGTTTAAATGCCGCCCAACTAGTTTTTGAAAATGTATTTATGATCATGAGGATGATTTCTTTGGTAAAAGAACAAAGATGAGTGCAGTACATTTTTCTTTAGGAAAAAAAAAAAAATTTTCAAATAATCTTGCATTTAAAATTTGTTTACTTAAAATCTTCGAGTGGCATATATATCGTGTCATCAGCGCTATGAACAAAAATTGAGCTAACTAATAGAAGAGTCATAATGACCAATTTTCAATATAATTATTATGATTACTGAATCGTAACTGCAAGTTATAGATATTCGAGAAGATCGAACTATTTCTAGTTAACTTCAGTTCATTCTCTCTTAAGTCAATTCAATGAATTTATTTGTCAAAATGTCTATTAGTACGATTTGAGTATTTCCGATATTGAATAAAGTTTATAATTTGAAACTGTAGTCGTGTTAAGGATGATAGTGATGACATCAGTTTGAGAACTCTACTCGTCAAACAACAAGTAATCTTAATTGATTCTATTAAGAGTAAAAAATCATAATCAATTGACGCAGAATACTCAATTTTTTTTGGGGTGTGGGTGAGCAGAAAACTAGTTGAATAGTAATATGTTTCGCCTCGTTATTATCTGGCTACATTTTAATAAAAATATTGGTCGTATGAGATCAACTTCACAAAAATTTGTTTACATGTCAACTTTAACACACATGATTAAGGAAACAATTTACAGATGAAATGACAGTCTATCAATTACTGTTAGTACAATAGAGTTCACTTGTTTTTTAGATAAACTATAGGATGGTCAATAGATTTATCGATCCAGTCGACGTTATGATAGAATGGAAAAGGGGTATGAATGATTTGTATTCGCTTTGCTTTTTTATACATAACTAGGCGGTTGGGTGTCGTCCAACCTAATCCTACCCTGGTTACACCACTATTGTTTTGATTACAAAGAAATGATCAATCTACCTGATTTTGCTGATTTATGAACCGTAATTGGTAGATTAATATTTTTTTGTGGTACTTGAATATAAGCTTGAAAAACAGCACATGGTACAGCTGGACGAACAGTAACTACGCATGGAGTGTTGATCTAATATTAATATTAAAAATGAATTAACAATCGAAATAGAGAAAATTAACATACATAAAATTCCATGGGTTCAATAGTAGCATGAGGTGGATTAGTAGAAGGTGGAAGAGCAGGTGGAACCACTTGTTCTTGTAATGTTTGAGCACGTAAACGTAAATGATAAGGTGAACCATCGATTTGTTCACCGTCATACGCTACTGATATATGATAATTACCTAAATATGAAAATATATTATTTATAAAATTTTTTATTATTGAAGTCTTTTAACCAGGTGTTTGACATATATAAAATACTCGATAGGCGCCTGTATCAACAACTTCAATTTGAATATCAGCTTTTGATGGACCATCAATTGCAATAACAAGTTTTTGTAATTCAACATTAGGTGCATCCAAATCAAAATGACCTAAGATTTTTAAATAGGTTTAAAATATAAGTAATATAACAAAGTAACTACAAACAATTATCATTAACAAAACCATCAGTTAGACCTGGGCCATTAGCTCTTATTTTTGGTCGTGGTTCTATACTTGATATTGGATTATCGTAAAGAAATGATGGTGGTGGTGGTGGTAGCGGTGGTCGTGGTATGGAAAATGCTTCATCGTGCTTGTTATTATTGTTGACTTGTCTTTGTAAACTAGATTGATTAATAAAAGATGATGATCTCTTTGTCGTTGATGAACACAATGGAGAACCTATAAAGGAGCATTTTTCATACGAGAAAAGAGAATTTAAATAAATTTTTACTGTTTAGTTTTGGTGTTGATGAATTTTCTGTCGTTTTTAGTAAACCTGAAACATAAAGATATATAACAAACAATTAGGAAAAAGTATTATTCTTACTATTGAGACGTCGTAGTGGATTCGAAAAAGTAAATGATGGTCGTGTATATATGGGTACTTTAGATGTTTGATGACGCTCATTAAAACTTGCTGTTGTACGTTTTGATATACGTCTTAGTAGTTTATTTGATGAAATTGTTTGTTGTTCATCACCACCATCATACATTTCTTCTGTTACTTCATCAGTTGTTGATGCTGGTAAATCAATATCATCAACATGTACAATATATAGTAATGTTTCAATATAAACTATATTAATAAATATTAATTATTATGCATTATTAAATTAAACCTACCATTACTTCCATCGTCAGTACTTTTACTACTTGAACTACTACTTTTATTACTTAGACGATCAGCAGATTCTACCAATTTATTATTTTTTGTATACGATTCATTATTATTATTAGTAGTATTGCGTAAAATCGATGAAACTCGACGAAGCTTTGGTAACATTTTGTTAATGAATGCTAAGTATAAAATTTCGAAAGAGATTTTTACTATAGAAATTAAGAGAAAAACAAAGATCTTGGATACAGTTATTCTCTTCAAATGAAGTCAAATTTGATTTGTCGAAAAGTGTTTATTATTGTCTAGAAAATTTTCAAGAAACAAATCAATAGAAGTATAATATGAGAATCTCTACTTCTAATGCGCGATTCTTTAAATGTGCCGAAATCGAGACTTTTCATTCTACTTGAACTTTTGTATTTTTGTTGTGTTAATTAATATACTAATTATAAAAGTATTTTCTTGAAATATATTTTAAAAATCAAATAGAATTTTCAACTCGAATTCCGAACGAATGCATCCCTAAAGAGGGCGTTAGCATACACACATAGCTACTAAACTTTACGTCTAGGTTTAAATCTTTTTTTCAAAGCATATTTCGAGAATTTCATCTAGATATTTTATTCTTTCAAGACTGTTTAATAAACTAATAATTCTTTTGTTATATTCTATAACAAAGGTTGTTGCTATCCCATATACATGTCCGATGGTAGATAAATGCGTCAGTAAAACAATTGATGCGAAATACAGAATAATTTAAAATTTCCAACATTTATGTTAAATGGCGACGGATAATAATAGTTGGATTGCTGAAACTGTTGGCGATTTTATTCATTCACCAATATGGGGAGCTCCTATTTATACATTTATTGAAGCAAATTGTGCTACTTTTGATTATGATGATGATGATGATGTTACAGAGGAAGATGATAAAACACCATCATCATCTATGGAAGAACAAAGGAATATTTATCAACAATATCAACGGCTTGTTGATGCATTAATTGAAGGTCTTGGTAAAGATCTCGATTTAGATCAAAATGAATTAAAAAAAGTTTGTCAATTACCAACATCTAGTGATGCTACCGGTATAATTGATGAATCATTTGAACAATTGTATGCAGCAAGAGACTTCCAATTATTCCAAGAAATGATGAGAAGAAAAAATTTAATTCTTCAATTACAAGCACTTGTTACTTTGCAATTACAATGGGGTTTATTAAAACACAGTGAAACTGGAGATGATCTTGTTCTTTCACTTTTATTACAAGCTACATCATCACCTTCACAACATGGATCAGGTAATCTACCAACAGAAACAATTGAAAGACCATACTTACAGGACAACGAAGATAAACACCATCAAAATACTGTTGTTGATGATGATGATGATGATGATGAGGACGTTGTTGTTGTAAAACAAAAACAACCGTCACCATCACGTAAGAAACGAGAACCAAACGAACCAAAAAAAGTATTTAAAGAGGAATATCGCTTACCTGATCTTCGACTTAAAGGTGGACCAGAACTTGATGCCAAATGGTATAGAGATCTTCAACAAAAAACTCAAAAGGTTTTTATTGTGTACAGTTTTAAGTTTAACTTTTTCAAATATCATGTTTTCTTTTTATAGAGAGACGACAATGATGATTCAAATGAAAATAATGAATCAAAAAGAACATCTACACCTCAAACAATTGGTGCTATTCCTGAAGAAGTACTTCGTGATAAATTGCGTGAATTAACTGTTCGTACAAAATCATCAGTCGATAATGAAGCAGCTACTGCTATAGAATCACGAAAGAATTTTCTTCAAAAACAACGTAATTTAATTGTAAATAAGCAACGTGAAGAACGTACACGAGATTTAGAACAACAAACACCTAATCCTCGACCACAATCAGCTGCACATATTGCACGTAAAGCTATGGCTACAACGAATAAAGCAAATGAAAATAAACCAGAACAACAATCTACACAAATACCTGAAGATGAATTAATCAAGCGACGAGCTATGGCTGCTAAACTTAAACGTGAAGTTGTAGACAAGCGATAAATATTTTTCATAAAACCTCTTATCTCTTTTATTATAACCATTGTTCATTTCAATTTTTTTTTCTTTTCTGTGTTTTTCTAAAAATCGTGCAAATCGAAGTAAACACCAATAAATTTCCAAACTGATTGAATCTGAAATTTATCTAAATCTATTATTTATATTCTTGAAACTGTAGTATTAAATTTTGATTTAAATAAAAATTTCATACGATGGATGCAACTAAGGATTCAGTAGTAGATGTGAGGTTTTATCTAAGGATGGTTATTTCTCAAAAATACTTTCTGAAATAGTGTGATTGTTTTTTAAAATCAGTCAGAAAGTGTGCTGCATACCATTTTTATGCAGATTTATCAACAAATAGCTTTTATTAAACAAAATGGCAAGTGATAAGATTCAAAGATTGAGACAATGTTTCAATTTAGAAAAATTCATCAATAAACGAGTTAACTTTATATCTAAATCTAGATAGATATAAATCATAGTTAACTCATTCGGTCTTTCTTCTGATATTTTTGCCCTTTAAACGTTTTTTTTTTGTGTAAAACTTATTTAATGATACATTCTAGTGTGAAAAGAAACGCTGAGGACAAGATCTTTCTTAGAAAATGTTCGAAATTTCTAGGCACACGCTTCAATTTTTCTTGTTTAAGTTGAAGTTGTAGTGTTGTTGTTCTTTCTAAATACTTCAAACATTTGTTTATGCTTGAAGTAATTATCAATTAATAGGAGTAATAACTAATGCTCTTTTGAATCAATAATTGTTTCTCACGAGCGAGCTTTACTTAGCATCGAAATCACACTTTAACAATCGAAATTGACATCTCTTGGTAATTTTATTGATTACAAAATTTGAATTCTTTTGTGCAAATATTGATTAGAAAAATTATCGAAAAAAAGTCTTCTCTATTACTTTTATGTATGAAGAAGGATGATCCTCAGACCATCGTACAGCTAGACCTGCTAGTCTGCATATTCATTAAAAAATATATTCTATTAAAATTTGTTCTTATTTTGACTATACAACAACAACTATAAAATTCATTTGAAGAAAATAATTTCGAATGATTGATCCGAACTTTTATTTACTTTACGATAATATTCGTAATATCCATAATAATTTGTTTTCCCGTAATATAATTGTAATTCTTTTCTAATTTATTATCGATTGATGATATTTATTAATTTGTGTTGTTAAATAATCAATAAAAGATATACGATGTAATGTTTCAACATGGATCATCTTTATTGTTATTATATTTAATTCTTGTATGAAATTTTGATAGATAATGATTAAAAGAGGACATGCAATAAGAGTCATTATAATAATAATAATAAAAGACAAAATTGATTGTTCTGTTGTATCTCCATAACCAACATTCAACAGAATTTGATAAACGAAATAAATATAACGTGATGGAGGTAGAATGTTACGATGATCTATTGAATGAATTGTCATTGAACTTGAATCTGTCACATAGAGTGTAATGCCTATCCATATACACATGAATATCACAGTAGCTAAAAACAGAAGAAGATGAGAAAAAACACGAAATGACGAACGACCACTATAATAAAGATGATCAATCAAATGACACATATCTCTTAAACATAAACGTATAAGAAGTAAATGACGAAAAGCAAGTCCCATAATGAAATACCATGTGCCTAGAAGAACTAATTGATGATTATTCCACTAATTGTTTTTTTTTCTCTTCTATATACCTGTATGTTTATAAGACAGTAAAGTGACTATAAAAGGTAAGGAAGCAAAAAAGACTTGCATAACAAAAACAAGACTTTGAAACGAAGCAATTATGACTAATGGTTCATTTAATGATGCTTTTTTTTCTTTAATTTGGCTTCTCTCTTCTTGATGTTTTTTGTACATATAAAATTTGATTTTAAATAATATTTTATCGGAATATTGTTCATAAAACAAAGTCCATAACAGAATTAAACTAATAAGAATATCTCCACTGAGTAGACTGATAAAACGATGATGACATCGCCATAGAATAATTTCCAACATGCCCATTATACAAGAGATACATGATATGCAATCGATTATACATCGGCAAATACATTTCTGAATAAGTAAACGAGAGAGAAGAGAGATAATTGAAGAAGATTGTGGATGAAGTCCAAATAACACATTTGAAATATCATCTGACTAAAAGAAAACTATATAAAATACATATATATATATTAATCGTTTGTTTTCTTAAAAATATACCTGATAATATTCTAAAATGTTATAAAAAGCCAATTCTTCTTGCAAAAGTTTCTCAGACAAGAAAGCCATCGATGGACGTTTTATTTTATTCGATGATTCAGATGAAGTGTAAAAGGGTAAAATTATACGTTCAAATATATGTACATCACGTGAGAAAAAATAAGCATCTAAACTTGGACGCCAATATGTTTGGAGACGAATCTTATCCGCTAAAAGTGTATTTGGATAGCGAGCGAGATCATTGATACGAATCTTTTTTTTAAGGAAAACAACCATCAGAAAAACAAAAATAGAAAAAAACAAAGAAAAGCATACTTGAAACGATTTGCCAAGAACATTAAATGATCGTTGTTCATCATTTTCGTTGTGTTCTTTTGTTCTACTATGCATTATTAATAAATGATAATGAGCGCCACTTTGCATTTGATGTTGTTTACAACTTTATTTTTCAAAGTAACTATATAGTGAATTTCTTGAATCGAAATTGAATTCGCAACGAAGATAGTCTATTTCAAATAAATATTGATTTAGGTTGAGTTTTAATTTTCAAAACACTAATCGTGTTCTTCATACTCTGTTAGCTTGCCAAGTGATTTGATAGAATATCATAAAATGTATTTTGTTTATATCAAACGTGTAGCTAAGCTATTCTTGCTTTTTAAATAGATTTGACATTTTTTTCAATTACTAAAATATTTTTGAAATAAACAGTGTTTAATCAATAATACGACAATAATTTAATTGCCAAAACTTATAAACAGGCAAAGAATGACTAAAAGCAAAAGAAAAACAGAAATAGTATAAGTGATTTTCATAAATGAAGACAGAATGAAAAGAAAAGCATCATATACGGTATGTGTTCGTTTTACTTTTATCTATTGTCGACACAACTTGTAGTAAAACGGACAGCTTTATCGTTACTGATAGTGAAATATGTTTTTCCAAGTTTTCAAAGATTTCGATTGAAAAATTCATCAGGTTTGTTTTCTTTTTTACTGACACAATAGTATAGAATTATTTTTTCCGCAAAAAATATTGATAGAGTTTTTCAAATGTTATGCAAAGGGTTCACTCTCTGTTGATTTTCACGAAAATATTCAATGATTATAGTATTAATCTCTCAAGACAAGAAAAATGGAAGAAATCATCGGAAGAAAATTGCATGAAGACCTAATGCGATAAATGCTACGCTAAGGAAATGTCTTCTCAGAAAAAATGTCTTTTTAAAAACTATATCAAATATGTGCATCTGTCAATTTTTCATTAAAGAAGAGTAAAGATTTTTTTCAGTGATAATTCTTTATTCATAAAATGATTTTTCATAATCGATGTTCATATAAACTTGAAAATTCACGTATTTCATCTAACTATTGATGATAGACTATTTTAAATGAATAATAAAACGAATGTTTAAGATCTGAAAAAGCTCTTCCTTTTGTACAAAATTACTTCATTCAAAATAGAGTTAATTATCAAAAGAAAACTTCTTGAAATGCTGTTGATGCAAGTTAATTGTTGTACAAAGAATTTTCCATTTTTCAAGCAACCTTTAGATCAAATAATGATATTCATTAAAAATTTTTTGTTATTGATCAAAAGATACTACCTGTCTAAGCAACATGGTTTTTTTTCTAATTGCTTACGATAAAAAGAAATTCTAAGTAAAATTATATTGGTTATCTTATTCCACGCTTAAATAGAGATGACATTAATTTAGTTAGAGTTGTTGATTTTGATCCCTATTTCTCTTTAAAAAATAGGATAAAGATTAATACATAGATAAAATACAATCGTTAAAGAGGATGTTGTTGTTTATTTGTTTCATCAGACATGAGTAAATTACTATCTTTTTTCTAATGATAATTTGTTCAATAAACTCTTAACCTTATTTAAGAATTGATATTCTAGAGTGGCCAAATCTACACAGGTCCAATATGCAAGAATCCAAATGCAAACTTAAGAGATCAAGATAGCCAAAGATGATAATAATACAACTCATTCACGATTATAGAAAGATATCAATAGAGCCAAAGAATCTGCATTACAATAATTATATTAACTAAATAATCTGAGAAAACCTTAACCTATTATTTTCCATGAAATTTAGAGAAAATGCAATATGCATCTCTGTGTTATCTATAACAAACTGCATTATGTTCTATCTTAGACTATTGAGAAAATCAGTTAGACTGAGTGCCTAATGAAATAAACTAGTTCAACATGAAAATAGAAGTATGACAAAATTAAAAAACTTAGCAGATTCAACTGCATAAGATAGAAAAGATTTATCACAATTCAAGTGTAACAGAAATTAAGAACTTCATGCGATAGAACCCAAAATACATCACAGTGTAAGACTAAAAATTGTATTCTAACAGTTCATTAAGGAGAATTTTATCAAAAGCAGTTTATGGCTCATTTTAGTAACCGAGAAACCTTTGCGTGCTGAGCCCAAAAGGCTGTGTATCAAAAATAGTTTAGAACTGAATGATAGTCTATCTGCACATTGTTTTTCTATTTTTCATTATTATTGCAAAGAAGGACGTTATTGTTAGTTTATCTTTATAAAAGAAATATAAGTATGATTTTTATATTTGTAAAATAAAGCAAAATTAAAGAATAAGGAAAGTTTTCTTTTTGTGAAAAATAAAAAGACAATTATCCAATATAACAAGAAGATATGTTAGTCAACGTTCTATCTTATCACTGGTAACACTTTGATATGCTCCCTTGAAGATCTCTCATCGTCTATATGACAGACTATAATGGGACCAAAATCCAACATGTCAAAAAGTGGCTAGACCGCTGCAGGTATATATGAAAATTTCTGTCACAACCTAACATTAGGTTTAAAGAATGTCAGCATGTTCGCTGCTGTCTTTGGAGTAATCTGGAGAAGACGGAATAAATTTTCTCAACATATAGGTCAACACTCATCGGCAGTCTTGCTTCATAAATAAGAAAAAGAAAACAAAGAAAACGAATTGATTAATATAAAATAATATTGGGAGAATGATGATAAATAGAATTACTTTGAAAAATTAGTTAGATGTCTTTAGTATATCTGTCAAACATGTCTTCAACTGTGATTGGCTAGATTTTATCTTTGGCGGTTGTTCATTAGTCAATTTCAGTGATTTTTTTAAGATTTTGTTTTGGATTAGTTTTTTTCAATATTGAATTTTTTGATATTATCCATTATCACAAGTGTGAATGTCTCGTAAATATAAAAATCTTAGACAACAAATTTTAACTTTACATGATTTGCATGGAAATTGGTCATCAAGTAATATTGCTGATGAATTACAAAATAGTGATTGTCCACTATTACAGACAAGGCATGCGTTTGTTCGTTATATAAATTATACAATCAAAAGAGGTACAATAGATCCAAAAAGAAGATCTGGACGACCCAGAACAACAAGAACAACCAAATTCATGTCATTAGTTAAATCTAATGTTGAAAATAAACGAAGAAAATCCATTCGAAAAACAAATGCATTGTTGACACGTAAACAATTGAAATCTTCGTACGGTAGTGTCCAAATAGCATTGAAAGATGATATTAAAATTAAACCTTGGAAAATACCACGATCACAAAAAATTACTTCTCTACATCGAGAACAAAGAATGAATAGTGCAAAACAATTATTAAAAAGATTCGGAAGGCAACCAACAAGATCTTATCCTAAATGGAAACGTTTAATTAATACTGATTTCAGTGGACGTGTACAATTAATACAGAAAAATAATAATAAAAATAATGTTATTTGGTCCAGTAGTAAAGCAACAATTCCTATCTAAGTCCAAACAATTGGTCAAGAAAAATTTAGTCCTGGCGTAATGCTTTTTGGTGGTATATCATCACGTGGTTTAATACCAAGAAATTCACTGATTTTCGTCGATGACTGACTGAAATCCGAATGTAAAAAGCTTAATAAGAAGCGTTTAACTATGGATCGATTTCTATATATTAAATTAATTGAACAAGAATTAAAACCTCATATCGACATATTGTATGATGACGTTAATATTATATAGCAAGATGATACTGATTCCAAACATCGTTCATATTATGCATTAGACAAAATAAATGAAATGTTTCACGAACGTATTAAACCTGAAGAACAAGCTAGTAAAATGTCTGATATATGGCCCATTGAAAACATATGGGCTTATATTAAAGAGAAATTAGAAGAACCCAGTCAAACATTATTTTAAAAAACATGCATGCAAATGCGTGATAATGGGCCCGTGTCCACGCATGTGTTACTATAACCTTGCATGCGCGTAAACGCGTCACAGGGTAAACTATATTCACGTGTGCACGCAAAACTTTGGAATGCTTACACGCAAGTTTCCGCCTGTATAGATTTTGCAGCATCACGCATGTTCAACAAAAAATATTTAAAAATGAATGATATCATGTATACGATGTACTGCCATTTACACGCATGAAATACTTACTCTGTAGGCATGTACACGCATGTAAAATATGAAGATAATACTTACATACGGATTCGAACTTGACATATTGTCTTGACAGACGAACATTCTTACCATTCGACCAATGATCGATATTCATTAGTATTGAGAAAATAATGTCACTTATTTGTGATAGGACACGCAAACTCATGTGAGTAAAAGATTCTTGTACATGAGATGATTTAAGAGAGCAAGCATGAGCAGATCGAGAATCACCAAAAGATGATTTTTTGCAACATGCCATTTTTTTATTTCATTCGATTCTACGTGAAAAACTGTGGGAATGAAAATTCTTTTAGGTCTTAATACTTTATACTCATGGAGTTATAGACATTTCAACATAGGAACCCCTCAAAAGTGCGCAAAACAACTTCTATTTAGTATTTTTTAATTTTTGAAGCCAACGCAAATCAGACAATTTTGAGCAACGTCTCATTTGAAAGAGCGTGTAAAACTACACCGATTGATTTATCTAACGTTTCTGAACTATTGTATTCTTTTAAAAAAGTTTTGATTTGTTCGAAAAATGTTTTATTTTTTTTTCAAGAAATTTTTGCGTAAAGAATATTGTGCTTGCATGAGCCGCATTTAAAACTAAATACATGTTATTCAGAAAATAAAATATATACCTTCATGCAAGTATATTAGGAAAAGGATAAAAAGGCGTACTCCATGAACTTTTCAAATTGCTCATTTTTCCTAAGTTCCGAGCATAAAAACTAAAGAACCATTTTTGCCACGTATGGCATG